TTTTCCTGTTACTTTCTTGTGAGAAAAAAACCTGACAAAAATCTACTACTTAAATCGAGTTTTCCTTTATCCTTGTTTCTGCTACATGAAAATTCGGTTTTATATATTTGCAGGAATATTATGGCTAGAGATTTTTTAAAATTATAGTTGACATACAATATTTATTTGAAGAATTTTTATTTCTACGTTTCATTTAACATATACCACAGATATTTTCCCATTTTGCTAATCAGTTTTTATTCTCATTTCCTCTTGCCTTATGCATTCCTCTTGAATACTATCATGTAACCAATGCCATTTGTGGAGGTATGTAAGCCCACACATTTTTCTCCATAATAATGTAAACCTCTACAAAGATATACAGATACATATATGGACCCGTATAAATAAATGTATATAATTTATATAAAATATCGTGAATTCGTCATTTGATTTTATAAAGGTGAGATCATACACTATATATATTTCTTGGTTACTATATTCTTTCTTGCTTAATTCACCAGGACAACCTACCAGGTCAGTAGCTACAGATCCAACTTGACTTTTCAATGGCAACAGAGTTATCCATAATATCAAATACACATTTATTCACCCTTCTTCCACTGATGGACGTTTAAATTGTTTCCAAATTTTTTTGTCATTACAAACAGCACCACAATACATATTCTCATAGATTCCACATTAGGTTATTAGGACTAGGATTACTAGATCAAGGCATATGTATGTTTTTTGCTTTTAATATATAAGGCCATGTTACTTACTTTAAAAAGCTGTATATGAACCTCATTTGGATGGCCATTCAAACTATAAAAACAAGAAGTATGACATCTATAAGACAGTTGGAAATCTGAACACTAGATAGTTCATTAAATTAAGGAATTTTTGTTATTTCTAAGATGCGATAATAGTAGAGATGCACACTGAAATATTTATGAATGACAAAATTTGCTTCGGAGAATATTCCTGGACTAATCCAGCACAAGTCTAAATCCTGAGAGAAGCCCCTTTTGGTCCCCTTGTGGCCTCCTCGCTTCTGCTGGAGAACTTTCTCCTTTGCTGCAGCGAGGTCGGTGAATCTAGTTTCTAAATATGGATATGCTCCTGGAGGCCTTTGGTCAGTGGACTTTAAAACAATCTTTTCAAAGTTTATCGTCCATTTGAATTTCCTCTTCTTTGGGACATTTTCCCGGGTCAGTGGGTCATTCTGGAATTTCCCCTTTTGTTCGAGAGTCAGTCCCATCGCTTACCTTCCCCATTCTTCTTTAGGAACCATATGTACTTCTTCCTAGAAGAGGTCAATGATAAGGATTCTTATTCAGGTTGGATCACTCCAGGTCCTATGGTATTAGGAAGAATTTTCAGGATCTTATCAGTTCACCAATAAGGCTACTGGGAGGTGAGGTTGAAGGTAGGAGCTGAGCTAATTTGGACTTCTCCATTTGCTCCAGACAAATCGGGTTATTTTCTTGGGCACCAATCTAGTTTGGCTGATGTTGATGATGATGATGATGATGATGATGTGTGTGTGCGTGTGTGTGTGTGTGTGAGGGTGTGTTTGTGTGTATACCATTTATTGCTCATCTCATTAGGTATTGAAGGAGAAAATTCATCATCTTAACTCAAAAGTCTGATATTTATATTAATTTTGCTTTATACATTTAGAAGCTCTGATGTGAGATATATAATTCAGTACTTCTTTGTTAATTGTCCTTTTATTCATACAAAATATCACTATTTGTCCCTTCTAGTGCTTTTCATCTTGAATTGTTACATTAATATTGTAACACACACAGCACAATCTTTTGTTTGGTGTGCTGGGAAAATATTTTGATATTTAAACCCATGTATTTTTACTTGATATGTAACCCTTTCTCCATTCAGATGGCTAGACTCTGAGTTATCCTATACTGAACACTATCACAATAGAACCAGAATATAAAAGAGGCAAATTTTTAGTTTGTGAATATCGAAGCTGAGGCTCAGGTGTGAGACATTCTGAACCAGTTTCATCATCCTCACTCAGAGAAGAACTGAGTCATCTTATGTTTGCTCCGTTAGTTCTATTTTCTTAGGTGTTACTTCCCTCTTTTATGGAGTTGTGGTGTTTCTCATTCTTGATGTTAGAGTTTTCTTCAGATGTTTTCTCGGTCTTGGGTTGGGTGCTCACCTTAATTTTTGAAGTTCCCCTTTAGCCCACATGTGAGTGCTGGATCTGTTTATCGCCACTCTTTGCCAGTAACTTCAGGAAAGAGACTTGCTATTGGATTGGGGAGGTCTATTAGTATCTAGTCTTCTGGACCTGGGACAACCACATCATTGCCATGGGCGCCGCAACGCCTTGCCTGTCTTTCTCAGGTCCTTATACTCACTCTCACTGCTCTTACCTGGAGGCAGAAGCCTCTGCCTGCCAGTTGCTTGGCAAAAGCTGGGCAGGATTACCTTATCAGGTGCCCTAGCCAGGTACCATTCCTATTTCACCATGTCCACTGCCCCTGAGTTTGGAGAACCTTCAAGGTGTTCTTACCTTTTGTTTCGATGTTCCCCTCTGGATATTTGAGGTTATGATTTTCTCTTTGAATCCGATACCATTTACTTTCCATTTTCCAGAGTCTTTTGTTTTCATTCCAGCAGGCTAATGTGATTATCAACATCGTATCAGCCTTCGACACTTCTAATTCTCCAGTTTTCTAATCAATTTGATTTCCCACTCTCCACAATTATTTATTTCATATCTTTTCTTTTTTCGGTTTTATTGAGATATAATTGACATGCGACACTACATACCTTTAAGGTGTACAGCATAAGGATTTGACTTACATATATTATGAAATGATTACCACATTAAGTTTAGTTAACATCCATCATCTCATATAGATACAAAAAAGAAAAAAAGTTTTTTTTTTTTCCCTTTGTGGAACCAGCTGAATAATCAGTTGAATATGGATGTATAAATGATTATACGTATATATTATTAAAGACTACATCCAATAGGAATGAGACATATGCATATACTGATCAGAAATGATTTCTTACATGTGTTTATGATAGAAATCAAATTGGGTAATGAATGCTACCTTCTCTTGGGGGAAAAGGATGTACACTCACCTATGTACCTCTCCCAAGGTGCTTATTTACACTCATACTATCTCTAGAAGGCAACACAAGTAATTTAACAATATTTTTCTGACAGAGAATTTGGGGACATACAAGGGAGGGAAACTTCACTCTTTTTTTGCAGTTTATATTTGTCACCAAGTGTATTACCTTTAAATTTTGTTTTTAAACTTTTTGAGATAATTGTCAAGTTCACAAAAGATTCATTTTTAAACAGATTTCCAGCCACCTCTTCACCACTCAAAACCTCTCCCAGCCCCCAGCCCTTCTCCAGAGTCTTGGCTGTAGCTGACAGCTCACCACCGGTTTCTTCAGCACGGGGCTGCTGGACGTGTGCTTAAGGTTTGAAGGGTGAGGAATAAGGACATTTATTTTTCAGATAATTGTCAAGTTCACAAAAGATTCATTTTTAAACAGATTTCCAGCCACCTCTTCACCACTCAAAACCTCTCCCAGCCCCCAGCCCTTCTCCAGAGTCTTGGCTGTAGCTGACAGCTCACCACCGGTTTCTTCAGCACGGGGCTGCTGGACGTGTGCTTAAGGTTTGAAGGGTGAGGAATAAGGACATTTATTTTTCTCTCTTCTTTCCTTCTTTTTTTTTTTTTTTTTGCATTTAATCATGTGCATATAGTATCCTTTAAAAACAAAGAATTTGCTTGTTAAAAAAGATCTCAACCTTCTCAACACCCCGCTATCTCTAATCCCCTATCCCTTTACTCGGGACGAGCTCACCAGCAAGAGGTGAAACACCGCGAGCACTCAAGGCGGGGTGAGGGGCGGGCAGCAACCCTAGAAAAAAGGTGTTTTGCTCACGGGGAACTGAAGTTTAGAAGGACGGCGTTAGTTTCCGTCTTCGACTAGATGGGGGTACAAATATACCTGCCAGGCAGTAGATAAAGGGGAAACAGGAACCTTAAACACCTTGGGATCGTTAACGGCGATGGATATTTAAAGCAGGACCGTCCCTGCACGGGAAGGCGGAGGCGCGG